GACCAAAATTAAACCCAAAAAAGGAGAGAGTAATATACCAATTTTCGAAACGGTAGAGTGAGGAGGAGATTTCTCAGAACCGGGTCCGGTTTAAGGTTTTCATATGGTAGTCTTCCATGAACAAAGCTGTGGTAATCATCATTGTCGAATTCGTAACCTACAGCCTGTTAATGATCAATTTGATTAGTAACCATTAAACATTCATGTGATTTATATGATGATTTCAATAATGGTATATATGATAATCAATTTTTGGGTTTGGTATGAATTACCTTTAGACCAGCCATTGAAGTTCCATACTTTTTGTAGAGAATTTGGTTTAGTTCAACGACTCCGTCTTCATCTATTCCAAGCTTCTCAACCATGAATTCTGCACAATGGTAATTTGATTATTTTAAGGGATTTTGTCTTCTCAATATGAAATATTAAGCATATTAATCAGTAATTAAAGGGCAAAACTATATGATGATACGGTACCTATGATGTTGTTGGCGCATGCTTCTGATAGACCAGAACTTAAAGGATAAAGAGTATCATCCAAATCTATATATGGAAACAAACATAAAAGATTAGATCAAGAAAAACAAATATATATTTTCTAAAAAAGAACATTAAACATCACTTCTTACGTACCAAAGATGAGACATTCATATCTTGGTGTAGAGTTGTTCACAAATTCCATTTCTCAAGAAACTGCAAAATTTGCTAGTTAAGAAATCGAAAGTAAAAACAAAAGAAAGAACATTTCAAACTAAAACTTGTTTAGAAGAAGCATTTACCTAAGAGAAGAGAGTTTACAGATTGTAATAGACGTGGTGAGAGATCTGATGATGAAGGGAAAATATCTGGTGAGAGGAAGAAGAAAGTAATGTAGATGTATGTTTTATATAAGAAATGATTAAATGCGTGTGAAAATAAAGTCGCTAATATGCTTTTGTATTAACTAATAATAATATAGAAGACGAGTACTTTATCTTCTTTGTTTAATCTAGTCCATTATTGTGATTAAAAAAACATTATGATTAAAGAAATGGTACTCATGATTCTTGTTGATCTCCAATTCTAATAAAATAAATTATATTCAATACAGTATGCATTATTAAGTCCACGCGTCAATAATTGCGTTCTCTTGATCATGTCACAACAATCAATAAAAAAGACTTGTGATATATTCTTGACCAAGACATTTTTCTGTTCCTTCTGTTGTTTAGTCTGATGGACGAACCGTGTGACATTAAAAAGAAAAGACCTAAATATTTACTTATTACTTAAGATCCCTCTATACATAAAAGACCCAAATTTGATCTTAAATAATCGTACAAGCACAAGAGGCTTCATAACCAAAAAAAAAAATGGCACAAAGAAAACCAAAACTACCACAATTCGTGAAAAAAAACTCAAAATTAGATCTATATTTATGTACAATTTTTTCTGAAATTCTGAAATTTTTCATTTTCTGGTTTGCTTACATGGACTGTATATTATTTCAGATGTAGATTTCGTGAGGTTTATTAACTCATAATTTATAGTATATAATTTTTTCCTTCCAATATAGATATGTAAAAAGTTACATATTTTTCTCAATGGGTTTCTCTCACTTCTCATGACTAATCAAATCCGTTGGTTTAGTTGGTTGTCAGTTTGTCACTCAATCGGAGGAGACGGCTTAATTTATAAATTCGGTTCGACAGTTTGTCAGTCCCGGACTTTGCAAATATATTCACCCTCGCACGTAGAGAAGAATTTTTATTGATCCATCAATTGGCCCAAACAACAACAACCAAATGTCCGGGACTTTGTGGTATAGAGGTAAGGAGACGGGTTTGTGGTGCCAACACGTTTCAAATTTGATTCACATGTTGTGCGAAACTAAAACATATTGTCTTAAACACCCACACAGATATGAGTCATTGCTTTTGGTCTATTTACATACCTAGAAAGAGAGTCTATCCGTGGGCTGCACCTTCCCAAGGATTCGTCTAGATCCTTCCATAGGCCTGAGATTTACCTTAAGTTATTAAAAAAACAACAACCAAATATATATAATCCGATTGCAATTTCCGTTGTTTCAGCTATGCGCATGGATTCTCTATAAAAACAATGAAAAAAAGAGAAATAGATATTATTTTAAATATAACTATGTGACTCGCCCGCGATATTCGCGGATATGAAATAAATTTCAAATTTCATTGTAAAGTATAAAATTGTTTTAATTAGGTAGGTAAAGATTTATATATATATTGTTGACTGACGAAATGATTTTTATATGATTTAAGTATATGTTAAATTATAAAATAAAATGATACATTTTGATGTTAGCTTAATCTCCACCATATTTTTTCATTACTAAATTCAACTCATCCATTGTGATAAAATGTATTGACTAAACTCACATTGATGGCTTAAAAAAGCTCCAACTCTATGTTTTCGCCACTCTTCAATGGATCAAATTTATTCGTTGTTGTCTTTATAAAATATTAGATAAATTCAAATAAGTGATCATCTGATTTAATGTCATGTATACATGTATGTTGAGATAATATTGATGTAAATGTATGCATCAATGGTGAGATACTATTGTTGTAGTCGATTAATCCATTACC